AGTTCGCGCCATCCCGAGGGATCGCGGGCTGGGTCTTCACGCCGGACCCCAGCAGACCGCACCTGCTGAGCTGCATCATCCGCTTGGTCAGCACCTTGTCCTGCGAAGTCCTTAGCGGCTGAGTAGGTAACCTTGAACAGTTTGGGGTATATTATTCTTCATGATTTTTGTTACATTTATTATCATTATCTTTATGATTATTGTATATATGTATATATATATGTTTATATTTATATTTATATCTATAGTTATATTCATATATATATATATAACATATATATATACATATATTTATTTATATGTGGTACCCCCCCCCCCCCCCATTGACCTATGCCTTTTCTTTCTTTTCTGTCCTGCTCAGGTGCGAGACCCACCCCCCCCCCCCCCCCCGCCCCTCCAGTGACCTCCCCTTTTTCGCCTTTTATCAAGTCACCCAGCTGCACTGCAAGCAAACTCAATGTGCAAAATAGCGTATTTCCTAGGGTGTAGACTAAAATAAGACTAAATCCGCATACACGGGAAAAACCAAAGATACCAAAACCAACAAAACCGAAAAAGCCAAAAACACCAAAACCAAGAAGAACCAAAAAACACAATTTTCCGGAACTCTCAGGAATCCCTACGAGGCTTCTCCAAGAGTTCCGGAAAACTTGTGTTTTTGGTGTTGTTGTTTTTTTCTTGGTTTTTTGGTTTTGGTATTTTGGTTTTCTGGTTCGCCTTTACGAGGCAGTAGCTACGCATTTTCAAGTGTGCTGTTGCGAACTGTGCTTTTCAGAAATAGCACACAAGTGGTCTTTTTTAGTGCTTCAGAATTATTTATTTGTTTCGTCATTATGTAAGTATATAGAACCGCTTCGCTTCTATTTCAACTGGTTTTAGTGCAAGTTTTGGTTGTACTCAAGTGTAGTAGACTCTGGTAGCTAAATTCGCATAGATACTATTTTCCGAGTGAAAGCAATAATTATCTAGAAGAAGCATTTGCAATACTTGTCTTGAGAAAAAGCATTTAGTGCTTAGAATGGTTTGCTTAAAAAGTGACTCCTACTCGTCCAGGGGTACTCCAAAACCCTACAATCCAAACTTCACCAGAGATTCTCCTGAAAAGCTTGCGCTTTTGGATGCTGTTTTCTTTTGTGAGTTTGCTTGTGTATGGCCTTCACTAAATACTTTTCTAGGATTATTGTGCATGCTTAAGCTTGCTTTTGCAAATTGTGCTTTTCAGACATAGTATACAAGTGGTCTTGATGGAATACTTCAGAAACCTTTGTTTCATTGTTATGTAAGTAGAAGCGCTTCTATTTTCGTTAGTGTTTATTTTCTTGGTTGAGCATGGTCCTTTAAATCGCATTCACTTGAGTCAAGTTGGGCTATTTGCTTAACAATTACTCAAGTAGTTAAATTCGCGTAGAATGATTATTCAAAAATAGGAAATGTTTCATGAATATATAAACATAAGGTATGTCAGTGGACTTTTCAGATAGTATTTGATTAGTACTTTGCCTAGTACAAACACAATTGTGTAAAAAAACGACAACACACATTAGTTGCTCAACACAAACATTATTTGCCCTTTAAACGCACAATTTGCATAGGAAAAAACACAGATCTAGAAGTCTAAAAACAGCATTGCCCGCTTCAGATTCAACATGTAGATTAATCCAACGCTGGCTTGTGACTGTGGGTGTCCCAATAGCCATCCTTCATTACCCGGTGATTAACTACGCGACTTTTGGGTCTTCGTTGTTTTTTCTCGTTAAAAAGGCCTCGAAAGGGTAGGTCGCTGGGGGGGTGGGGCGGGGGGGTTGGCGAAATTGGTGGGGCTATCGGTGTGGATGCGTCGGTCCGGAGAGGCTCATACTAAGGGACCGTGAAACTACCCTTAAACCCTACAACCTAGTTTACCCTAAACCCTAAACACCCTTAGAAACCCCCTTGCCAGGTTCCTGTCGTTGTTCCATTGAAACCGGGTCTTGAGGTTCTCCAGAATGGACGTACTTCTTCGAACGCTGGCGCGAGCAGATGCTGCAGGTGCTTGGGGTTTGGGGTCTATAGGGGGTTGATCGGAAGCGCGTTGGGCGCGCTTCTTGAAGAGGCTTCTTTTGGAGTCTTGCTGCTTCGGGAGGCAGGGCTCTGCATGCGGAGGAGAGCCCGGAGACACTAACTTTGCACATGTTGCCCTGTTCCTAAACCCTAAACCCTAAACCCCAAACCCTATGAACCCTAAACCCCACAAGGGCCACCCCGGAACCGTAAACTCGCGGAGGGGACATCAAAGGGAGCAGCGCACCCGGCGCAGGCCTCCCAGGCATCCCGCCGGGGGTTAAGAGGGTTTCGGGTTTAGGGTTTCGGGTTTTGGGTTTAGGGTTTAGGGTTCAGGTTGTTTAGGGTTTAGGGTTGAGGGTTTAGGGTTGAGGGTTTAGGGTTGAGGGTTGAGGGTTTAGGGTTTTGGATTTAGGGTTGAGGGTTTAGGGTTGAGGGTTTCGGGTTTGGGGAGGTCCTCCTTGGAGGGCTTGTAGCCGTAGGGCTCTATGGGCTTCATAGAGCTTTAGGGGTTGCAGAGGCTTAGAGGGCTTGTAGGGTTTAGGGTGTTTGGATATTTCCAGGGTCTAGAGGGGTTTACAGGGTTCAAAGGGTTGGTAGGGTTGGTAGGGTTTAGGATTTAGGGTTTAGGGTTTAGGGTTTAGGGTTTAGGGCTTAGAGGGTTTATCGGGATTTATGTGTGCTTTCTGGCGGTTTCGGGCGCTTCCAGGCTTCTAGGAGCAGTTTGGCTTCGGCTTCAGGCTTTGGGGATTCCCCACTAAACCCTAAACCCTAAACCCTAAACCCTAAACCCTAAACCCTAAACCCTAAACCCTAAACCCTAAACCCACTCTTGGATGAGTCAGCACCCTGAGGAGGGGGGGGGGGGCGGGCGCTTAGAGAGTTTGTTATCAGAACCTACGAACACGACACTGCCCTTGAATATGCCACAAGTTGTATCAGGAACCCCACGGAAGAAGCAACCCTAAACCCAAAACCCTAAACTCTTTGGATATTCCATCGTGTATCCCTTCTGCGATGAGAGAGGATCCTGAAACCCGAGACCCTAAACGCAGCATGGAGATCCCACGGCTTTAGCTGTTCATTATGGAGAGACCCTAATCCCTAAACTCTACACCCTAGACCCTAAACAAACCTACGCCCTAAGCCCTAAGCCCTAAGCCCTAAGCCCTAAGCCCTAAACCCTAAACCCTAAACCCTAAACCCTAAACCCTAAACCCTAAACCCTAAACCCTAAACCCTAAACCCTAAACCCTAAACCCTAAACCCTAAACCCCCTAAACCCTAAACCCTAAACCCTAAACCCTAAACCCTAAACCCTAAACCCTAAACCCTAAACCCTAAACCCTAAACCCTAAACCCTAAACCCTACCCTGAACCCGACCTACACAGAGTGCGAGCAGGCTCCGCCCTCCCAGCCGGCAACGCGACAGCGGATCGCGGCCACAGAGGCCTGGTGGCATCTTGAGTTTAGGGTTTAGGGTTTAGGGTTCAGGGTTTAGGGTTTACAGGGGATGCTTGGCAGGGAATGAGGGAGTTCGGCTGTCTATAGAATCCCCACAAAAGGGCCATATCTGGGGGATGGAACGTACCCACAACTCCCTACTTCCCTGTTAAGGAAAAGCTGAGGATAATTTGTCGGGGGGAGCCCTACCCCTCAAAATAGCCGCAAATTCCTAAACCCTAATTTGATTCCCAATAAACCCCAAAGCCTAAGCCCTGAGCCCTAATCTGGCCCTAAGCCCCCTAAACAGACCGAGGGGGCTGGAAATGGAGCAGCACGCCCGGCGCAGGCCTCCCAGGCAACCTACAAGGTTCTTCTTGGATGGTTTGTGGGGTTTACAGGGTTTACAGGGTTCATACGGTGTACAGGGTTTATCGGGTCTGCAGGGTTTATAGCCAAAAGGGTTTATAGGGATTGTCGGGTTCGGAGGGTTTGGAGGGTTTATGGGATTTTTGTGTGCTTTCTGACAGTTCCGGGGCCTTCCAGGCGCAGTTTAGTTTAGGCTCTAGGGTTTGGGGTTTTCCACTCGTGTTTTCGAGTCAGCGCACTGCCAGTAGGGGGGGGGGGGTTGCCTCAGAGAGTTGTTTTTGGCTTCAGAACCTACGAACACGGCGTGGCCCTTGAGCTTTTTCAGGAACCCCCACAGAAGAACCAACCCCCAAACCTAAACCTTTGAGATATTCCATCTTTTATCCCTTCTTGGATATGGATCCTGAAGTCGCAGACCCTGTCACGTGCGTCTGTGCGTAACATGCAGTATGGAGGCCTTGTCCCCAAACCCTACACCCTAGACTCGAAGCCCTAAGCCCTAACCCAACACCCTGGACCCTAAACCGTATACAAACCTACACCTTAAACCCGAAAAGCCCGACCTTAACAGAGTGCGAGTAGGCTCCGCCTTCCCAGCCGGCAACGCGACAGCGGATCGCACCTGCAGAGGCAGGGTGGAATCTTGGGTTTAGGATTTAGGCTTTACAGGGTATGCCGAGCAGGGAATGAGGGAGTTCGGTTGCCCCACAAACGGGTCATAGCTGGGGGATAGAACGTACCTACAACTTCCGACTTCCCTGTTAAGCAAAAGCTTAGTAAACAGCTTGCTACAGGAGAATTTGTCGGGGGGGAGCCCTTGCATATTATTAAATTCCTGAACTCAAATTTGCTTCGACCTCCGCAAGGCCCCCCCCCCCGGCAGAAATTTCTCGAACGCTAGGTTATCGACCTGTGCGCCAGCGAGCCTGGAAATGGAGCAGCGCGCCCGGCGCAGGCTGGTGTTATGGTCATGGGGTTTAGAGGGTTTGCAGGGTTTGGAGGGTTTAGAGGGGTTACAAATGTTTGGTGTACTTTCTGACGGTTCCGGGTGGTCTTCCAGTCGCAGGTTCGTTCAGGCTTTGGGATTTGAAGTTCCCCCGTCGTGTATACGAGCCAGCACCCCAGGTAGGGGGGGGGGGGGGGCGTT